GCTGGCTCTAACCTGCCTTCTCTCCACAGCCAGTATAACAGATCACTGGCTGGAAAGCTACTTTTTCAGAAACACTGGAAAGGATAAATTCTCTTTCCTTGAGGAACTGGTTTCTTTGAAGGTTCCACTCTCCTCACTTTTCCTCCCATATAATATGGATAAGGGGTCTTTGGCATTATATGCTTGAAACTTACATTCCTCTTCTAATCGATCAGACAAGCAGAGTAATGTCACTATCTGGTCTACCATTAATTAAAGAGACAATTATCTTAACAATCCACAGGCTAACATTCTCCATGATTAGTGAGAGATCATTATCTGCTCGGATAAGAATTCTAGTTATATTAACAACAATGTATCAAATCCGACTGGAACTATTACACTTGTATATTAGTGGGATGGATAGGGCATTTCAGCAATTGTTCCTCCGCATCATTAAACCATATTCATAGAACAAATATTTACTAACTTTGCTTGCATACTTTACCTGGCAGGCAACCTGCATTTGAGCAATTAAAAAGCATGCAGGGAAGTTGAGTTATGGGTGTCACAAGGAACATAATCTCAAGTTCTCTGATTACTATGGAATTGAATTCTCTGATTGAACATTGCTCTAATTAATTGTTTTTGACAGTGAAGGCAAACAATTTCTCCTTGTAAATGGGAGAACAACTCCGGTAAAGTAAAAAAACAAGACATAAGCAGCCCCTCCTTCCAGAAGCAGTTTTAATTATAGAGATTGTAGGTCATAAACAAAGATATTGTTCAGTGAGACAGCAATACTGGGTCTTTTGAAGGGTTCACTTACTGTATAGAAAGCAGCAGATTCCATGTCTGTACATAGTGCATAGTCCCTCCTACAAAGGATTAATGATTTGCCCAAAGGCTGACTAGTCCACAAAGACAAGAAATTGGGACATATATGATCAGTTTCACAATGCTTTTAAAAAAGAAGAAGAAGAAAAGAAAACTGTGAAACATAGCTACAAGAGGACCACACAAACCTGGGGCCCTCTCACACTAATTATTGCACAAATATTCCACTTTAACTGCCATAGTAATATCCTATGGAATCCTGAGATTTTTAGATTGATGAGGTACTCTGGTTGAGAATTCTAAAGACCCCTCCCTAAACTGCAAATCCTAGGATTCCATAGGACATTGCCATGGCAAATACAGTGGAATAATGATGCCACAATTATAAAGTGCAAAGGGGGCTCTCGTTAGACCAGTAGCTGGTGGAGAGACTGTAAAAGAAATACTTTCTATTTAGATCATTTTTCTCATCCAAGTGATTGGGGAACTGTCATATGTTTCTTGGTATCTTGTTTAGCTCAACCATCCCTATTTTGGATATTTAATAGGGATGCAAAGAATATTCAAATCTTCAAAAGAAAAAAAAATGGAATGGGACTTTTCATGTTTCCAAAGACCCTGATGAGAATTCTCTCAAAGCTCCTTCCTTAGTTTTTCCCCCAATCCTCAAATAGACTTGAGGACTACTTCTGCCCTCACCCCACCCCAGACTCACTCTTTCTAATCCTCCCAAGTGTGGGCTGTGTCCTAATAGCTAGTGCATGACAATGATGTCTGCATCATTGATGAGCCAGCTAACAAAAATGAACCAGCTAACAAAACTTGTGTGGAAAAGCTATAAAGCCTCCCAATCTTTGGCTGGCTTCTCCTGGCTCCTGATGTCACATGGTGAACAAGTGGGGAGCAGAAGCCAGGATAGGATTCTAAAATTGAAATGCTCCTTACCCTAACCCATGATGTTACTGTGGCCAGAGACTTCCTCCCCACAGTGAGACCTCTTCAAAAACTGCTTGGAGTTTATCACATGGGGAAAATTGGAAGTTTAAATGGGTCAGAACCCACAGTTATCCAGTATATTAGTTTCAATTGCACAAATGGTTTTCACATGATGCTGTGTGCAAACCACTTGGACTCTGACAGGACAGTGACATGAACCAGCAAATAGGCATTTTCACGAAAATACCATAAATTCATTTCCGTTTCATTCATGGATTCACTTTTATTGCACAATTGCTCTAGTTTGAAAGCCATTGTGAGATTCTCCCTGTTTCTGTATTTGTTGCTAAATTTCCTATGGTTCTTTGGGGTGAGTAGTCAGGGCTCTTAAAGGAAAAGTTGCTGGCAAAGGCAGGGTCACAGGGACTTTACAGACTTCCAGAAATAATGCAACTTGAGTCCACTTTAACTGCCCTGGATCAGTGCTAGGGAATAATGGGAACTGTAGTTTAGTGTGGCACCAGAACTCTTGACAGAGAAGGTTCAATGTCTCAGAAAAAATTACAGTTCCCATGATCCCCTAGCACTGAGCCAGAACAGTTAAAGTGGACTCAAGTAGCATTATTTCTGGTAGTCTGTAAAGGCCCACAGAGAAAAAGATTGCTTCTCCCTAATCTGTGTGAATGTCTCCTCTCCTTCACCCTTCCCCATTAGCTGGGGCTCTTAAAGGAACA